ATAGATAGATAGATAGATAGATAGATAGATAGATAGATAGATAGATAGATAGATATAGATAGATAGATAGATATACATGATATACACTCGGAATGAAATATACAGGAAATTATTATGTGTATATACATATATATATATTAGATGACTCGGTTGTTTTAGATAAAAAAGAAAAAATTTTATTAAATTATACGTTACAAATTATTTAAAAACTAAATATATTTTAATAACAAAAGAGCTCAAAGTTCTCTAATATTGAATAAACTTTAATATAAATTTTATCCAAACTGCTTATGAAAACGTAACTATGATTAGAATAAGCAATCAGATGAAAACAACTACCTACTTCCTAAAAGCAGAACCCAAACACGTCGAATTCAAGAGACTATCGGGGTCTTCCGGTTAACGAAACGGTCTAGAAGAATAAAGAACCGGTGCTTGCATAACTGGCCATTTTATATCAGAGCAAAGTTACTGCTAAGGTCAGACTAAACTTTTTCTTACCTGTAACCGTCGACCTTACAAAAGGGGCATCGCAGAAGTTCACGAGACTGATTTAGAGGTCATCGTGAAGAAGATGAGCCCAATCTTCCGTGACAATAAAACGTTTAATTTCCGAAGTCCAATTAAAACAATCGTAAATTTTTGACTATGGGATGGTATTCTTATTCTTATTTCGAAATGAATACCCGTTTTAGAATATTTTATGAAGAAGACCTCCTAAACTTTGTAACTGACATCGAAGAGTTCAGACATGGATTCCTTCTTTTTATTTTTTAATTACAGTTCTGTTGATTTAAAGTAGGGGTCGGCCTTCAACGGGTGTCCGCAAGCTGGCAGTATTCTACCGGCAATTTTTCACTGTACCACTGAATTATATAATTCAGTTGAAAACATTTATTAAAGGCTTTGAATGCATTGTATACAATGCCAAATAAAGACCGGCACAGAAGGAAATATGATTATTGCATACTTTTAATACGAAATGAGGATTATGATTTCTTTGAATTAGTTGAAAGTAATTTTTGGAAACAACAAATACCCTGTAAAAAAATTTCAGATCAAATTAAGGTAAAAGTACCGGCACTCAAAGGGTACTTCTTACCATAAAACCCATTTTTGCAGTAAAATTTTACGGATCCGAAAATATGATATACCGTAAATTTTATACAATAATATTTACTGTAAAATAGCTGAATCAGTGTCATTAATAAATGTTACTGTAAAAATTACCAAATAAAATTTTACGATATATGATTTTACCCAAATATGATTTTACGAATGTAGTACCCAGGGTGCCAGTACTTTTTTACTGTAATTTGATATGGAATTTTTTACAATGTAGATTCATATTTTATTTTGATTTCTTGCATACAAAAAATAGTAATCGACAGTGTAATAATTCATAATAACCATATTAGACATAATAATATTCTGCCACGGATATGTGAACCATTGCCCGGCATTCTCTGCTCTCTCATGTGATGCTATTTTTTAGGCATAGGGTGATTATCTGGTATACAATTGGGTACTTGCTTTTCAAGAAGACCTTCCAAGCCCACACATGTAACCTATGACGTCATCGCCAGCTTATCTGTATCAGCAAAATAGCTTATTAAAGTTGAGCTGAGTTTCTCTACATAAATTAGAATGTTAATTAACGATAAGTTAATTAAATACAAAGGCATATCGCACATCGAATTAGTTGAAATATAATTCTTTCTCCTCCACTTTTCTCAACTTAGATTTATTATTTGTTTATGTACTTTATCGTAGCCGTGATATATTTTTGTTTTGTGTACCTGGCTACTTCGATGCATTGCAACTTTGTTTATGTTCCACATGATTTCATGCCTGTCTTTATGTTAAGTCTCTGTGCAAATATCTAGGGAAAGAATTGAAATCTTTGAGAAAGAATGTTTGTGGAAAAAATTATAATATGTCAGTTAAGAGAATAGATATTTGATGGGCTGGCTTTCTCAAAATAGAATGGAAAGAACAGTTGCTAACGTAAACAAAAGCCACTTTTTAACAATCAATCAGATCGAGATACCCACACTACGTCACTTGCAGTTATCCCATTGGTCATTGACTAATATCTTACACTGTTTTCTTGTCTTCAGAGTTTAAGGTCTATTATCTGAGATCCCTATTCTGATATTTTACCGAATCGAGTACTATCAATAATTCTGTTGAAGTAAACGGAAGCTGAAATAAAAATAATCACGTTAAAGTAAAAATTAAGCTTCACAAAAGAAATTTTTTATTGAATAAAGATAGTCTTATTTTTCTTTGATCGTCTTCGCAATAATATAATTTTTAAAAAAAGAAAGAGATTTCAAAACAATTTAAAAATTTAATAACCATTTGAAAAACAGAATTTTTTGACATGGTGAGTTTTTATATATTAGCTTAAATATATTTGTTTAGTACAGAAAAAAAAGGAAAAATTTATACAAAGTGAAATAATGTGAGCACAAAACAAATGAAACGTAATGAATAACTTTTGATCGAATGATCGAATTTTTACGTACTATAACTTAAGCTTAGAAGTTCGTGTAGATGACCTCAATTATGATAATTAATTACAGACGATACTTCAAGATATTTTAATCGGACATTTTCTCTGAATAAACATACTTCTTTCCGAAGGATTACAATTTCTGTAACTCGAAAAATAGGGGGTTGCTTCAATATGGGAAATATGGCCCCAATAGTTTTATCATGAGAGCAGTTGAAATTTTGTACACCTTAATCTTACCTCTGCGTATTTCTCCATATCTCAAGAACTGCTTAAGTGAATTTAAAACCGTTTGCACAAAATTACAAAATTCGTTTATCCAAAGATAACTTCCATGCAAAAATTTTATTTCAACAATTTTTTATTACTTTTTATTACAATAGTCGAAGCAATTTTGAATTGTAGGATTTATAAATTCTTCCATCATTTTAAAGAATGTATTTTTATATGGCAAAGTACAAAATTTGAAAGAAATTGGCCGATTAGTTACTCAGAAATTGAATTTTAAAAACCTAATTTTTCTCCTTCGAAAAAAAGGTGTTTATTCAGGGAAAGTATATTTCCTGTACGTGCGTCTGCAATTACTAATTAGCATATTTGAGGTCAACCCCTTTAAACCATTACGATGAAGTACTAGTACGTGAAAATTCGACCATTTGATCAAAAGTTATTCAGGATGATTCACTTATTTGTTTGCGTACTGTACACCCTTCCTCTTAGCAGTGAACAGTTGACATTGCACATCGGTTTACAGAGGAAAGGGTAACGTACACCCTATTATATTTTGTTTCAATTTCTAAAAGTGCTGATTAAAGTTGAAGAGCATGAGACTAATAGCTTGGAATTTATATGGGGTTTATGTACAGAGAAAAATCGATTTTTGACAGATATCTGTTAACACATATGGCATTAATATCTTGACAATTGGAGTATTGTTTCCTGTTTGTTTTTTACGCTAAATTTTATAAGACTAAACATGATTCACTTGGACAAAGTGTTATTTTCTACTTCTACTTATTTACATACGTGAAATTGCAATTTAAATTCTATATAGGAAAAAAAACACCTTTTTCTATGTATTTTTTATACTAATACAACAAGCTTGAGGCAGGGATAGCCTAGTCGGTAGGGCACTGGGCCCATGTCCGAGAGTTTGTGAGTTCGAACCCCGCCGGCCGAAGACTCCCCGTGTAGTAAAGTGACTAATGCGCGTTAAATCTGTCGAGTAGCAAAAGTCCTCTATATTCCCATAACAAATCAATACCTTTGGGGGTACTGGTTTGGAGTTCGATCGTTCTCTGATTCAGGTCAAAATTACGATCTGTGGATGAATGAATGGATGTATGAATTAGTCCGCCCTATAAACGGGTGCGACGTATGGTGTGGCAGAAGTCGAATTCTTGGCCATAGATGGCGCCGCTGAAAAAAAAGAAATGCACACTCTGCCTTAAATTTGCTCGGTTTCCCCAAGCAGGCTTGCCCATATGGCAAGTTGCATTAGAAACAACAGCAACAACATAAGATTGAGCCTTAGTTGAAAGAATAAATACTTAGGAGTGCTTAGGGCCATAGTCCTGGTGGCATCTTTTTTAATCATTTCATGGTTTCGACAGTTTATTAGCAATTCCTATTATACTAATATTAGTCTCATAGAACAATACAGCCGGCTTTGAGCCTTTTCCTGCCAGATAATATCGTTCTAGACTTTCCTACATTTGACTTTAAACTTCCAGTTTTTCATCTTCAAGGTGATTCGATCTTTGATTTCGTCCAGACTTCTCTTTTTTTGGTCTTTCGTTTGGTCTCAATTTCAAAAGTTTCCAATATAAAAGTTTTCTTGGATTTCTACTATCATTCAATCTTTCAATGTGCATTAGTCTGGATTTAATAAATCGAATTATTTTTTTTTATCTGAATAATTGGTCAAGTTCGCTAATGTTTCTTATTCTCCACTTTGTATTATTCGCTTTCATTGGTTTGAAGAAAAAAAATTTCAAAAATTAGTAGATTAGATTCGTCTTTATTTGTTAGAGTCCAAGTTTCACTGCCATGCGTAATTAGAAGTCTGATAACTATTTTATCTACTATTCTAGCACTACTTTTAAAAAATGCCTATTATTCAACAAAATCGATTATTTTTAAAATTTCTGTCATTCTAGAATGGAATCAAGCAAGTAATATTTCCTGAAACTCTTGTCTATAGAAATTGTACATTAAAATCGCAATTATATATCCGTGGTCTCTTCTAAATATCTTAACTGTTATGTAATCTTAACTATTATGCAACTGAAAGTAAAATTTTCTCGCGAAATCGTTGAACGTTTAAATACTATTATCTTTGAAATAGAATTCATAATAACTTTTGTTACATTATGTTCGTTTAAGATGGATCACAGATACAGCATGAGGAAATAAATAGTTTTATTAATTGAAACTTGAGAAATATTGTTTTATCCCCTAAATAATTTTTAAGAGATTAATTCCTAAAATTTAATACTACATAATTTAATAAAATGATCACAAATACAGCGTGGATAAATAGTTTCATTAATAAAAACCTTTGAAAAACATGTTTTTTCGAACAACTCCTACATAATTTTTAAGAAATTAATACATTGCAAAAAAAAATTCCTTTTTTCCGATTTTTACTTTAAATATGTAAACTTTATTTGCATTTCCATACGACAGTGCATAATCTAAAAGCTATTATTATTTTATTCCATTTTTCTTATTATCAATATATCATAAGATATTTTTCGATATAGGTATGTTTCAAAACTCTAAAAACTACCAACCAAGTTCTGAATAAATAAATTAATTTAATTTCTTTTGCAGTCTAAAAATTTAACAAAATTTTACCTAAAAATTTATTTTTATTTCATATTTATTTTTTTTAATTTATATTAATATTTCCACATTTTGTACTCTAATCTTTCATACAAATGTTAAATTACAATAGATTTTTTTAAAAAAAG